AATACACGTACGTAGTGATTCAAGCAAAATACATGCATGCATAAAATGTTACATCATTACCCTCAAAGAATTTAGAAAACGCCGCCATTAAATTAGTGCTCTACAAATGAATGGTAAATAATCTAAATTAAGAAGAAAGCAGTCTTTTGGGATTTGGCACCGTGTATATGTGCCAAATCCCAGAAGACTTCTTTCTTCATAGTCACCGCCGCGAAAGCCTCAAATCTTACAATCTAAATTAAGTTTGAAGTGAATAGTTACTTATGACATCGAAACATACATGTTCGATGCTGCAACAAAATGGCCAGGTGTTTCTAGAACTTGACCCGGAGTAGCGTCTCTCATTCTTTTTTTATTGCTAGTGGGGTGGGACTAAGTCCCTTGTACTGTGGCCACTTCTGGCCTATTGTACCAGCCCCAGATGATAGGTGAGGGTGATTGTGGAGCAATTGGTGGAATGAAGATTGACAGGGGAAACCTAAATACTCGGAGAAAACCTGCCCCAGCACCATTTTGTCCACCACAAATCCCACTTGACCAGACCCCGGGATCGAACCCGGGACGCCGCTTTGGGAAGCCAGCGACTAACCGATTGAGCTATTGCGAGGCCTAGCGTCTCTCATACTTCACTATACATCAGGATTTCAACAAAAGCATATAGGCCGACATAAAGGAACAAAAGAGAAGAAGAAATGGTGTCATTATTTCCGTTCTTCCTTCCTGCACAGAATCAATAAACTTGGAAATCTTTTTTTATTCAAAATCTTACCCCTCTGCGAATTTAACACTGATTTGGAGTTCCGAGGTTAAGGAAAATGAAGTTGACGACTTAGTGTTTGTGTTCTTATGTGCTCCAGCTTAATGTTTTGTTGTATTTCAGAGTCCATTTACATTCATCTTTTAAGCTAAACCTTTGGCATGAAAAAATTAAGATTGGAGAGTACAGGATTGTTAAAAAATATATTCTTTACACACATTAACCAAGTACCTCACTTTCTTAATTTTCATGCAAATTATTTATTTAAAAAAAACATTTCGATCTATTTCCACATATCTTCCACAGAATCGTTCACCTTAATAGAAAACGCTCTTTCGCTTTCACGCAATTTATAACTCATTTCTTGCTTGCTCCATAGAAACATTCCTGAATAAGAAGATGTGTTCCTTTTGCACATAATTTGAAACTCTTTTTCCTTCTCTAAAGTGGTGTGAGACTCGAAGAAATAGCCTGGCTTTCGTAACTGCTTTCCGTTACAAGAGAGAACCGTAGCCGGAGATACGCTCTCTGTTCACGCTTCGCAGACAAATATGTTTTCCACGGCAACAATTGGATACATCAAAACGGGAAGCGGTGTTTTCTTCGCGGTCCGCACCGAGATGTTATGGTTAGTACAATTCTACAGACAATTAGTCGAGAGTTGCTGCAGCTGAGGCCAGGACAGTTCGGGAACCCAGAGGAAGGGGAACGTTACCAGATGACTGACGAAGACACAGCAGACTGAGAAGACTTAAGTGTGTTCTCTAGTGAACTGTAAACTACGTGAAGTACTGAAACGGTTGTAATTACTGTAGTCACGGATCTGTAATATTTCAATATATACAATTACGAATACGAATCCCGTCTATAGTCATTCTACCACGCAACAATATATAATATACTCCGTGACTTCAGTCCGCAAGCGAATTATACCGACCAAGCGACCGCCGCTTGTCAGCGAAATTTTAGTGCCAACTTTTGCGGATAGAGGGTGTCGCGTAGTCAGCGCAACGAATCCACACAGCCGTTAATTTCGGTCTTCTAGACCGGAGCCCCTATTCCCTTGAAACAGCTCCTCAATTATCATCACCAGGCTGAGTGGACCCCGTTCCAGACCCACTACTTCTCCGAAAAAATCTGAAAGCGCCGGGAATCGAACCCGGAACTTTTAGTAGGTTATGGAACGTAACTTATTAGGAAGATCATTTTAGGGCACTCGAGGGAGGGATGGGAAGATCATTCGTAGTTGCAACAGATATTACAGCATGAAGCATAAAAGAAGTAGGTGATACCGTTTTACGTGCGACTGCTTTGCTCGTTCTGTATCCTCACTCGTAACTCGCTGTTTCTCCACCACAAGTGCGAGTCGTACGCCTACTCCAATGAGTGTTTTTTTCAGCTTCACGTTAATTTATCGCCATCATCACAATGCTCACGTTGGCTTAAACGGCAATGTGTTTGACTTGTATCTGGGAGGTGCCTTGTTCTGATCTCGGACGGGACACAGAACGTTCTGAGGTTTTTGGTAATCTTCCTCAGTCCTTCTAGAATAATTCCTGTGTAGTGACTTAAATCAGCCCATGTCCGCATCCTTCCATTTTTTTAATGCTAGTGGGGTGGGACTAAGTCCCTTGTACTGCGGCCACTTCTGGCCTATTGTACCAGCCCCAGATGAGGGTGATTGTGGAGCAATTGGTGGAATGAAGATTGGCAGGGGAAACCGAAGTACTGGGAGGAAACCTGCCCCAGCGCCACTTTGTCCACCACAAATCCCACTTGACCACACCCGGGATCGAACCCGGGCCGCCTCGGTGGGAAGCCAGCGACTAACTGCTTGAGCTATGGCGCGGCCCATCCTTCCATATACTTTCCCATTCATTGTTTGTTATCACTCAACCATCCGATACCATAGAGCCTTAATAGTTGCTGATACCGTCGTTAAGTAAACTACAACAAACTCCATGGTTTTAGTCCGCAAGCGAAATATACCGACCGAGCGACCGCCGCTTGTCGGCGAAGTTAGTGCCAAATTTTGCGGATAGATGGTATCACGTGGTCATCGCAACGGATCCCCAAAACCGTTAATCTCAGTTTTCCACACCTGAGCCGCTATTTTCGTGAAATAGTTCCTCAGTTCTTCTCAGATAATCTGGTAGCGTCGGGGATCGAACTCAGATCTCCGGATCTGTAGGCAGGAACTCTGACCACTAGACCACAGAGGCGGTCCATTAAGTAAGCTACAGAGAAATTAAATAAAGAATCAACAAATATCAGTGTCATGTTTGTGCTTTCAGTTTTATTCGGTTCTCTTACTGAATAAGCTGATTCTTCCGCCGTAGTGTGGCCATTCTTTGAGTCTATTTCCTTTAATTACATAATGCAGAATTAAATATACTTTGGCGTGCCGCTAAAATGGACAGAAGACACCTCCATTGATAGGCAACGACCAAAGTTCCGACGACAGCGGCTAGGAATGGTTGAGATCAGATTTGATTTCCTAGACAACAACCAACGTTCCTACGACAGCGGCTAGGAATGAGAACGCTAGTAATTCCTAACAGTGGAGTTTCCACCGTTACACACTGTACTGAAACTGGGGAAAAATTTATAAAAAAACGATTTTTAATGTAGAATACAATATCAAATTAAAAGAAACTCGGTTAGAAATTCTGGAGAGGAAATATTGGTAAGAACATTACTTAAGATTATGCATTTCGTTAAAATAGCACACAATAACTTCTCGTGTATCAGCACTCGGTCTAGCGATCGTCTCTTACGCGCGCACCCACACTGTGCCCCTGTAATGCAGATCGCACGTCAGGACTCCCCCCGTCTCTGCTTAAACCATACTTCACTTCCATGAAATTCCCACCAACTTTCTCGCTGACGCGGTGTTCGTAAAGTGAAGGCAACCATCAACAAATGCCTCTTTCAGTTACCCTGTCACAAAATACAATTTTGGCTGGAAAATGTCGTAGGAAAACACAGCTGAGAACAACCAATTTTAGGTGTGGGAGGATAAAATAAACCGTTTAAGGGAATTCTTTTGTAGAATCTAAAACAGCAATATGGCTACCGTTCGAAATGTATATTTAGCTTTCAATTTGATGGAGGTAATTAGTAAAATATTGGACCTAGTCCATGTCTTCATGTGTGGAAAATTCTCCAAATGCTTTATTTCCTTTTTGGGAGCCCCGATAAGTCGGTCAGTACAGTAAGTAGGCTGAGAATTGGACGACTAGTGTTCGATTCCCACCAGGGATAGTGATTTTATCTTTGTCGTCATGGCCACACCGACTCTGGCTTACACTTCGCCGACATACAGAACGGACTGAATAATGTTGACGTTATCCACTTGATGTCAACATTATCCGGCTGAAAAAATAAATCACAATGTTCTTTATTATCTACGGAACAGGTTGATCTAAAAGTAAAACTCTCGGCTTGTATTCTAGAGGTTATAGTTTCGAATCTCAACCAGGACGCTATTATAACTGAGGTTTTTCGTGGTTTTCCTCAGTCTCTGCATGAAATTGTCGGGATAATACCTCAATTAAATCAAGAGAGCTTCCTTCCAAATCCCTTACAGTTCATATCAGTCTTCTAAAAAATTCGGCTCTATATAGGCTACACACTGAAAGCATTGTGAAATAGCCCACAAAAAGTAAGTATTATTTGTGTACATAATCCATACAGCATAGTTATTGCCGATGTTATCCAGCTAATGTTAACATTAACGGGCTAACCAACAATTATTTAAGGACTGGATGATTCTCTGAACATCTGACATTACATAGCGTCGAAATGTCGGGTGATTAGTTAACAGTGGATTGGAAATGACGTGAAAGCAAACAGTTATGTGTCATTTGGCTGGAGAAAATGTGGAAAAACACGAGAAGCCGTAGTCAGGATAGCCGGTCTCAAAGCCGAAATTTGAACCCAAAATCTCACAAATACATGTACTAAGCAGAAGTGCTAATCGCCCCACTCAGTCTAAACTGTGTGAATGGACATGAATTTATTTATTTATCGTCTTGTTAACGAAGCTGTCGTGAGCCGTGGTATCGTAGTCGGTATAGCGACTGCCTACGGGCTGGACGACCGAGGGGTCGGAGTTCGAGTCTCTTAATCTACATCGAGGAATGTGATGAAGCTGACATTGCCATTGGGCATGCGCAGTCAGGCTGCGTGGCGTATAGAAGCGGAGCTCAGCTCGTGCCGGCACATACGTAGTGGTACGAAGTGTAGTAGTGCCTTGTCTTGCAGACGCTCTGAGTGTGCACAGAAGCCACTGTAACAAGCGCAGTGATTTTCCTACAGCAACCCAACAGTGTGAGTAAGGACATGACGCTTTATAACAGACTTTCACGGCGATGAGTGTTCAGGTTGTGGTCCTGGGTTGCGACACCGTTTAGTCTTACAGGTAGATACTAACATGTTTGAATAATATGCTGCCATCTTTCAAGACAAGGGTGAAGACATGATCAAATTTTGAAGGAAGGTTGACAAGAAATATTGTGTCAGAGCACATGGTGACACAGCCCTGAATACCACAGTCTGAATACCCGGTTTTATTTTGTACCCTAAGTTATATATTTAGTATACAAATATATTTAGAATGTAGTTATGTTTGTTCAATTAGAATGGTCCGTGTTGGCAGTAAGCCTAATTAAGAAATCTCAAATTTAGGGTCATCCATGTTGCTGCAACCTTAACAGTAACGAGACTGGTTTCGTTAGTCAGGTTATAATAGTCCATATGTTCCATTCCTTTCTATAACTCAGAGTAAGATCGTCCGTGTGTCGTTAGTTGAATGGGGAAGACTGGGGTTGGTTGTTAATTTTTGTGTGACTCTTTTGTTATGCGAGCATCGTGTGTATGGAAATAATAGCCGTGCAGACTGTTAGTGACAGTTTTGGTCTTTAAAGTAATATTTTTCATATTATCCTTGTCTTTGATTTTTTTTTTAGAAATATTTGCAATTTTTGTGACTAAGCATAAAATAACAACAACGTGCTCCAGTACAGAATACGTTGTTACATTACTGTCTTACAGCAATGAAAGTACTTCTTTAAGTTCTATTATATTTTATTTGATTGGTGTAAAGTGTCTGGTGTGATTACAGTTGTCGTAATTCAGTTAAAAATATATGCTTCATCTAATATAAGTTGGATAAAGAATACAAATGGAGATTCAAATTTTATGATTATCTATTAAGGATATATAATATAGTTTCCTGTTAGAGAGATTGAATGGAATAGTATGGATTGGAGTGATCTGGCTCAGGAAAGGGACCAGTGGAAGGCTCTTGTGAACACGGTAATGAACCTTCGGGTTCCGTAAAATTCGGGGAAATTCTTGAGTAGCTGCATAATTGATGGCTTCTCAAGAAGGGCTCAGCCCCATGAGTGAGTGATATAATATTTTCCGAAGTGATTACAACTGCCGCAGCGCGTTAGTGATATCGTCACTATCGTCAGAGTTTCAGTTGCTGCAAGAAAGAAAGATGGCACCTTTGCGCCGAAACATGAAGTGCAGGAGTGAAGAGTGAAGTGGATGAGTGTATGCACTGTAAGACGGCTGGAATAAATCATGCACAAGAAAGAATTCGCTTAATCAGTCGCAAAGTTCGCGGGCCCACTTTTTACATATAATGGCCTGGAACTACTTTGTAGGGGTTCTGAATAATGAGTAAGATCTCACACATTCAGTATAAAGGGATTCATCTTCCTCTTCAGAGGAGTCAAGTCTTCGAACAGTCTTTTTTTTTTGTTAAGTTTTTCTCTTGTCTCTTTAAGTCTCTTCTCTTGACTGTCACTGAAAAAAATCTGTTACATTTTTCCGGCTTACCCCTTGCTTTTAGTGCAGCCTTTAACGGAGTATCAGTCAAAATAATACTTACCCTTTTGCTACCTGAAACCCTCTCCCAACTTTTCTGCTTTAGGGAAAGGGCCTCATCTCAACAGGGCTTAACGTAGTTCAGAATGCTTCTGAAGATGAATGGCCTGTGTTTAAGCCTGATGAGACCGCTTGTGTGGTCTAGTGGTCAGAGTTCTTGGCTACAGATCCAGAGGTCGGGGTTCGATTCCCGGCGCTACCAGATTTTCGGAGAAGTAGTGGATCTCGAACAGAGTCCACTCAGCGTCGTGGGGATAAGAGCTATTTCAAGTAAATAGCAGTTCCGGTCTATAAAACCGAAATTAACGGCCGTGGGGATTCGTTTTCGTGACCACGCGATACCCTCTATCCGCTAAAGTTGGCACTAACTGCGCCGACAAGCGGCGGTCGCTCGGTCGGTATAGTTCGCTTGAAGGCTGACTGCTACCATTAAAATTCGAGTCCTAAGTAGAAGAATCTGGAAACCCAGAATTTTCAAGGTCTTTATTATCTTGACGAGGACCAGTTTTTTATTGCTAGTGGGGTGGGACTAAGTGTCTTGTACTGCGGCCACTTCTGGCATATTATACCAGCCCCAGATGATAGGTGAGGGTGATTGTGGAACAATTGGTGGAATGAAGATTGACAGGGGAAACCTAAGTACTCGGAGAAAACCTGCTCCAGCGCCACTTTGTCCACCACAAATCCCACTTGACCAGACCTGGGATCGAACCCGGGCCGCCGCGGTGGGAAGCCAGCGACTAACCGCTTGAGCTATGGCGCGGCCCTACGACGAGGACGGTTAGTCCCAGCAGAAGGCGAGACATCGGCAGTAAACACATCTATGTTAAGAGGCCATATTACTTTTACCAGAAATCCGGACTTAATGCTTGTTAGTGTGAGTTCGTCTGACAACGACTATGGCTCACTATGGATAGAATGTCATAAATTGTCACAGTTTTCCAGAATGGCTTCTTAACCACGCGTCAGACGCGCTGTTCGTATACATAATTCAAATATCCATAAGTGGACCTGTATAAGTGTTTCAGCTTATTAGTTGTATGAGCTGGGAAAGACAATAACACTACCCCATTTTCCTTGGAAAAGTGAACTTCTGATGATTGTCTAATAGACGTTAAATTGGTTTATCTTTCACAACCATAACATGCCTTTTGAAATATTCTGTGAACAATAAGGAATCACTTCCTGTCAGCCACCCTGAATTATGATTATTGCGTTGCTATCACCAAAATATAAACAATTTTCAATGTGCTTGTAAGCGGCCTGTCGATCACAATGGCCTTGCGGTCTAAAGGGCCCATACACTTACGAGTCTGGCTCTCGAATCCGACTCGGCTCGGGTTTCAATGAGCCAAACTAGTCCTTGTGTGGGTTGCAAAGTTGGGAGTCAGCTCATGCGTTTGTGGTGAAATTAATCCGAGCCCGACTCCCGAGTCAAGCTCGCCGAGCCGGACTCGCGAGCCAGACTCCTACGTGTATGGGTCCCTTAAGGCATGAACTGTCTTCGCTCACTCGAATGCTTGGATCGTGGGTTCGAATCCCACGCAAAACATGGATGTGTGTGTGCGTTTATTCCGTGTTTGTGTTCTTCTGTATATAGTTTGAGACCTTACGACGGGCTGATCCCCCGTCCAAGGAGTTCTACCGATTGTGTGTAGGATTACGAAACTGAGAAGCGGCCAAGGCCCAGCAAAGGGCTGTAGAGCCGTAGATAGATGGATTGTAACAGGTCTGACTCTAAGGAATGGGTCACACGAGACTGTGAATGTAGAGGTAGGCCTTAAGCAGATTTGGTATGCTCAGACTTATTTATGCTAATGAAGTACAGAGATAAGTATGATTCCCTTTTCAGTATAGCTCACACAGTCTTTCGTTATTGAAGGGAAAAGAGTACTAATTAAATTCCATCAATTAATTCGGGCCGTGAGCTCCTACCTCAAGGGTTTAAATCTGATCAGATTCATTCTCATTTCTAAAAGGAACTATATAATTTTTCGCTTGTAATTTACTTCAATTCCAGTCTTAAAGTGTTTTGAAAAATCTCTATAGCGCCATAAAATTCAGTCACTACTTATCAGATGATTTTCTTAGATTGAAAGCTTTAACCAGAACTTCTTCTGCCTTCTCCACATAATCGTAATTTTCTTTAGGCGTGGTACATCTTTTTCGTCTTCCTCTTCGGATCCATCATAAGAAACTCTTTGCCTCTGCCGGGAATCGAAGGGCGATTCTCTGATCGACCAACCTGTATTATAACATTAGCCACCTAACCAGTTAGAATAGTTGCTATTATATCTAGGTAGTGAATACGATTAACGTTTAGCAAAATTAATCCTTTTTTATATAAGTCCAGTACACGATCTAATGAGTAGCATTACACCAGGTTCTGGATTTGTGTTGTGGAGGCTCATTATTGAAACGTCTGCCGTGTTACCAGCTATGCTAATTGAGAATATCTGTGAGTTTTCTGACTTTGTTTAGGCAAGCTAAGTCTTAATCTAGTCTACGGTCGTCTCCCTCACAATCTTCACCCACCTCGCTCATGATAGCATCCCTGTCTCATTCAAAGTTATAAGTAAAGTAAAGTAAAGTAAAGCTATCCCTGTAACAGGCCGTGAAGGCCCATAGGGTTGTGAGACGTTGAGGTCCCACATTATCTAGACAATCGGCTCATAGATGGCGGTAAGGCTGTCAGCTCTACGCGCTGGCCGCCCTTTACCCCCAGGAATATTCCTGGTACTCATTTTTGTTAGAGGCCGAGTCGACCCCAAGGCCATAGTGCGGTTGGAAGGATTAGGTCATTTGAAAAAATATCCGATGACCTCATCGGGACTTGAACCCGCGACCTTCCGGCTTGTGGCATAGTGCCTCAAGTAACTACGCTACCGCGTGCTCCCATTCAAAGTTTTCAAAATTAAAACAACTTTGTTAAATGGAAATGTTCACATCTCCATTCTCCATAACAAAGCACAAAGTTCTCTCACTTTTACGGGAGAATATAAATTTCATGTGTCTGATAATGAAGTGCTCGGGAAAATATTTGAACCTTTGAAAGATGAAGTAAATGAGCAGTTTGGGATTCTGCATAACAAGGAACTTCGTGATTTTCACAGTTCACCTATTGTTAGTGTAGTGGAGGATTGAATTGTATTTAGAGCAGTGATTCTCAAACTTTCTGAGTCTGCAAACTCCATGTAGTCGCCCGCCGACGTACATCTGCCACGACTCTCGCTCGAGCTTGAGTTCTTTATCTCAGGATACGGGTGCTTCGGAGATTGGAGTGGAACACACTTCAGGGTTAATAAATCAGGGATCTCCAGAGCACACCGTGTATTGAAGTCCTAATTTAAAATTTCACACAGGGATTAATCTTTATTTTATTCCTCCAAGGTTGCCGCTCCGTCACATTTAACCTTTGTACACCAATTTGCCCC